TAAATGGTGTCTTGAAACGGCTTTAAAATTTTCGAAATAAAAACTAGTTGCATACATTTCTGCCGTAAATATAAAACTACATTAAGGCCCACAACTGTTTTTAAACGGCATACCCATCAAAGAAGTTGTCAAGGGAGGCCAAGTTCTTAGGTCTGATTTTCGACTCCCATTAACTTTTCTTCTGCATATTAAATCCCTAAAAACTAAATGGCTGAAGGCACTTGATTTATTGAAAGTCGTGTCTAATTCAAAGTGGGGAGGAGATGAAGCTACCCTCCTACACCTATATCAATCATTTTCAGCTTCCACCAGGGGTATGGCAGGACGGCTACGCGAAGGCATAGTTTGAGAAAAATACTCATGCCAATAATGGATTTGTCACCCCTTCAATTTTTTAATTGGAGAGGGTGTGGGTGGGTCAATATGTGAGGGTGTGTGGGGTTAGGGGTGAGGAGGGGGTGGCAAACCATTATTGGCATGAGTATATTTTAAAGTCATTTTTGAGTACCTGCAGTGTTTCTCCGAGTTCCTCGTTGTTGTTCCTTAGGTTTCAGTAGGATTTATACAGCCTTTTAACACACTAATAGTGTAGCATGTGAATATTTCTGAACTGCATACGGAAGGCCCATAGGAAAAATAAAACTATACTAATGGGTGAATGGTACATGCGGTTTTACGTTTTCACAGTTTGTGTTGACATAACCACTGACTGACTGACTGAGTTTAGTTTTACGCCGCTTTTAGGAATATTCCAGCAATATCACGGCGGGGGACACCAGAAATGGGCTTAACACATTGTGCCCATGTGGGGAATCGAACCCGGGTCTTCGGCGTGACGAGCCAACGCTTTAACCACTAGGCTACCCCACCGCCCCTGTTGACATAACCAAGTCCTGAAGAAGCTGATCTTTTCCTGTTGACATCAGCATACAGAACTGACGTAGATTTAGATGGGATAGAAGTTTGGTTTGTTTGTTTGTTATTTGAGGCTGCACTCAGCAATATTCCAGCTATATGGCGGCGGTCTGTAAATAAGCTACTCTGGGTCAGACAATCCAGTGATCAACATCATGAGCATCGATCTACGATTAGAAAATCCCCATGAAGCCATACTGAATGAACATAATCCAACATTCTTACCGTTAAGCTATTTCAAATCAGAAATGATAAAGCGCACATAAGAATTAGTTTACAATTCACAACTTTTAAGATACAATCAAGCGTGATCTTTTATCAGGATTTCAAAGAGGCATGCTCATGCCGCATTTGGCTTGAAGTTGTGTGATCACGGTTACAACATTCAAGGCGTCAGTAAAGCTTTCAAGAAGGTTTATGATAGAAATGTGGAGGAAGTTTCCAAATTTGATGCATCAGTGACAAAAATGATGTCCGATGCAATTCCTTATTTTGACTTATACTATACCTTCCCGAATTATTTCAGGTAAACAAATGACTATACTTAGCATATGTTTATGACGGGTGCCACCGGCGGGGCAGGATAAGCTCACCTTTTAGCGAACATCTGGCATCATCGCTACCTCAAAGTGATTCATGAACACATGCTCTGTCATAATATCGCATGGTGACAATCACTGGCTTGTCTGGTGCAGATCCGATTTTTGTTTAGAAACAACATCATACACCTGCAATACTGCTGAAACAATTATCTGCTGCTGATAAAGCTACAATTGTACAATCGACTCTGCCCTTGGCAGAGATTTCTTATAAATGTGGAAAGGGTTTTGTCGCTACTATTTAAAAGACGAACACGTTTTTAATTCGTTAGGTTCGAAAAAACGAAGATAGCAAAATACTACTTCTTTTGTTAACCTAGTACAGTAATTACCTGTAATTAATTATCTTATTACGAATATCGAGGAATTTCTTTTCAGTATAATAATATTTCGTCCTAGTTCGTTGCAGGTGTTTTTCATTTGTCCCATCACTGACGTTTGTAAATAGTCTCTGTCATGGACTGTAATTCGTTCCCAAAACACACATTTTCTTGTTGTGTTCTATCTGCTTGTTGTCTCCCGCGTGAGGAACTCATTAACAAGATAATCTGTAAATAGGGAGAATGTGCAGGACGGTGTGGAAGATGGGTGGGACATCGTATATATTGACGGTGTGGAAGATGGGTGGTACATCGTTTATATTGACGGTGTGGAAGATGGGTGGGACATCGTATATATTGACGCTATGTGTCGAAGATGGGATAGGGCATCGTATGTATTGACGGTTTATGTGGAAGATGGGTGGGACATCGTATATATTGACACTACGTGTCAAAGATGGGATAGGGCATCGTATTTATTGACGGTTTATGTGGAAGATGGGTGGTACATCGTATATATTGACACTATGTGTCGAAGATGGGATAGGGCATCGTATTTATTGACGGTTTATGTGGAAGATGGGTAGGACATCGTATATATTGACACTATGTGTCAAAGATGGGATAGGACATCGTATATATTGACGGTATATACTGACGGTATATGTGGAAGATATGTGGAAGATATGTGGCACATAGTAGATATTGACGGAATATGTGGATTCATTTTGGAAGATGGTGGTACATCGTATATATTGACACTATGTGTCGAAGCTGGTATAGGGCATCGTATGTATTGACGGTTTATGTGGCAGATGGGTAGGACATCGTATGTTTTCACGGTATATGTGGAAGATGGGTGGTACATAGTATATATTGACACTATGTGTCGAAGATGGTATAGGGCATTGTATGTATTGACGGTTTCTGTGGCAGATGGGTAGGACATCGTATGTATTCACGGTATATGTGGAAGATGGGTGGTACATCGTATATATTGACACCATGTGTAAAAAACGAACGGGACATCCTGTATATTGATGGTATGTGTCAAAGATGGTTGGGACATCGTATATATTGACAGATGCGGGTAAGAGGTGGTCTTCAGCAACCCATGCTTTACTGACGGGATTGGGTAGGTCCGGCTCGCTGACTTGACTGATACAGGACATCGTATATATTGACAGATGCGGGTTAGAGGTGGTCTTCAGCAACCCATGCTTTACTGACGGGATTGGGTAGGTCCGGCTCGCTGACCTGACTGATAAAGGACATCGTATATATTGACAGATGCGGGTTAGAGGTGGTTTTCAGCAACCCATGCTTTACTGACGGGATTGGGTAGGTCCGGCTCGCTGACCTGACTGATACAGGTCATCGTATATATTGACAGATGCGGGTTAGAGGTGGTCTTCAGCAACCCATGCTTTACTGACGGGATGGGGTAGGTCCGGCTCGCTGACTTGACTGATACAGGTCATAATATTCCAATTGTTCATAATCGATGCTCAGGATTGAAATCTCTGGACCCTCTGGTACAGACTCTGTTATTTACTGACCGCCTCCATGTAGCTGAAATATTGTAACGTTAACAAACAAACAAACGTTAAAAGAAATTATTTTTTATTAATCCAATAATAATGTTTGAGGAATGAAATATAAGTATATTGGATAAATATAGGTGCAGCCACTTCCTGGGACATCTGACAGACTGTTATGTCTGTACGAAATCATAACGGTAAATGGTTTAACATCCATTCAACCTGTATGAGACCTCGTGTTCATATATTTTTATTTATTTTGTGTTATTTTTTAATTTATTTTTTAGTATATTTATATATATATATATAAATATATCGGTGCGGGGGGCGGGGACATGTCAGTAGAGAGATCAGTTACATCATATTTCAGAGCGATGCAATCTCACTAAACAATCGGATCACTAAAGAGGTTGCACCTTTTCATGATGTCATACACATATAGCATGGAGATGGATAACAGTTAGCAAAGGGGTAAAACACGAGTATAATGGTAACTTTGTTATGTACCTCATTACATTGAAAACTGCTGTGGAAAGTGACTAAAATGACGTTGTGAAGTATTGCTGTGGACTGAGGGTACTGTGTGACATTTAAGTGGAAGAATATGAGTATATGCAATGAAGGAGAGGTTGCCAGGTCTACCAACATCCTTACAAACCATTATGAAAAATCGAACATGGCTTCTTGTGTTGAACGTTTGTTTTACCAACCAACCTGTGTTGGACCGATGTTAAGTCAATGTTTTTTTTGTCAGGGAGACATCAAGTGGAATCATGTTTCAGAGCGATACACTTTCACAAAATACTGCGTACAAAACTAAACGAAAGAGTTCTTGTCTTTCAGGAGACAAATATGCTTTTTAGAAGGTTTCGAAATGCTACATTGGTTGTATTTAAGATTACACTTTCTCAGTTAAGTACATAGAAATCTGGATGGAAATGTGACAAGTGAGCCAATTGTCGCAGTGGTACTGAAAATAGGTGATCTAGACTACCATTTGCGTTGCCTAGGAAACGGTACATATCATACATACAAAGCATATTACATATGATAAAAGGTTTGCCCTCTAAGGAAAAAAAGCGAAGTCTAGTGATTGCTAAGTAAAAATCTAACAACTGTCGTCACCGTTGTGTGTTTTGAAAATGATAAAACAAAGAAGAATTGCTACGTATAAGGTCATTGTTGGACATTTACTTGGGATATGAGCATGTTAAATTGTCTTTAACTACTTCTTGGCGATCGTCAGTAATGAGTCATCATATGAGTAAATGAGTCATCATATAGAGTAATGAGTCATCATATAGAGTCACCATATAGAGTAATGAGTCATCATATAGAGTAATGAGTCATCATAGAGTCACCATATAAAGTACATACAAGAAATCAATATAATGTCAGATTTCATGATCAATGATAACAATAAGATGGCGACTCATGTGAGATGAACATATAGAGGGAGAGAAGCCAATTAGGTACAGCCAAAGATGCAGTGATGGGGCTAGTTTTATAGGCATTGGGCCAACTAGGCAAACATAGCAGATGGGCATGCAACTATGGTAAACAACATTATAGCATGCACATGCTAACATCGCTGATGCAGATATGTGTCCAAGTCACGTGAGGATGTCCCAAGTCAAGTGATGATGTCAGTATCCTTAGTTATGAAAACGACTAGTTCCTGACGACGGAGTTTTGATAGGTTGGCTCTGCGAAGGAAAAAAGATGTAAGTCAGTGATAATGGTGATACAGAATCCGCCATTGTGTGTACAACTTAACTCCCTTTCGCATTGTACAAAGAGATCTTTTACTCTACCATGACTACGTCAAATACTGGAATTTGAATGGACAATCAATACATCAATAAATGAATGAACTATCACTTTGGATTGAAAAATGCGTCTGATGTTATGACTGCTTCACAGCACACGCACACAACACTGTCGTACTTCTTCAGCTTGGCCACCAACATGACTGATGGAAATGTTAATAATAAAACATTTATTAAAACTCGAAAAATACAATTATATACAATTTTCCTTCACAATTATTAGGGAACCTCACTGTCATATTAACTTCTATTACAAGAATATTCAAACTCAATTGTCCAACCGTCAACAAGCAACTTTTAAAAAAAACCCAATAAATATCCTTTGTACACGATTTACAGATAACCATCCAGGTGTGTAAAGCATATGTTGCTTCCTTTTAGAGAGTAGCAATTCGGTTTTACATTTATCTAATTTTCAAACATATTAAGTTTAACTCCTAAATGATTAGGTTGTCATAGCAATTTGGCCATACGGTTTCTAATTCAGTTATTAAACATGGGCTATCAACTCGTTTGCAGTGAAACATATAGGTAACATACATATGAGTTATCATCGATGTTTCAACATGTGACAAACTACTATTATTTATGTTAAAAACCCATTTATTAATCATAAAACATCCTTTATGCATGTATAATTAATGTATAAAGTGTAGTATCTTAAAGACTCACAGGTGCTTTGTGAAAGATCAAGCATTTTATCTCAAACCACAATATGTGATTCCGGATTAAAACAGATGCCGAACGATGCATGCGAATCCCTAAACTAACGTTTAGTTTCAGACTATATATAATGATAGTAAAAAATAAACCAATTTAAATTAAAAAAGAGCCCAAGTGAGATGGGAAATTCAGAACCTGACGAAATCTAGACTTGCTCAATATGGGGCTTTATGCAGGGCTAGGTAGTAAAGAAATTAATGTGGTTCAGGGAACTGTGAGACAGACTTGCGGATCCCAAGTGAATCTTATGGTCAGGCTCGGTGATGTAATTTATCTGACCGCCGTCATCTCATTCGAATATTTTAGTGTGCGACTGAAACAACAAATTGTATAACTGGCTTGTTCTCAGTTCTGATGCTATTAAAGTAATAGCTACAAGTCAGAGGTCAACTTACCGTCGTCGTCTTTCTGTGCTTTGGTTGGTTTTACTTTCTTGTCTTTTGCTAGGGTTAAAAAAAGGGATAAATACAGATAAGGACATCATGTTGTTTTACAGCACGGATATACATGTACCACTGATTAACAGGATTTATATAGAACTGTTAAACAGGTCCATGTACCGCTGATAAACAGGACTTATAAAGAACTGTTAAACAGGACCATGTACCGCTGATAAACAGGACTTATATAGAACTGTTAAGCAGGACCATGTACCACTGATAAACAGGACTTATATAGAACTGTAAACAGGACCATGTACCACTGATGCACAAGACTTATATAGAACTGTTAAGCAGGACCATGTACCGCTGATAAACAGGACGTATATAGAACTGTTAAGCAGGACCATGTACCGCTGATAAACAGGACTCTATGTAACACTAACTTACAAAACGAGAGTTGTTGAAAAATGATTTTCCACAAAGAATATTTTTTAGAGTTTTTATATAAAAAGTAGGATTTGGAAGCATATTTTAATACTGCATATGTGAATATGTCTCTACGCAGCAATGGTGATGTGATTAAGTATTCCATTTTCATGTAGAGTACCAAACCATATCATGTTTTTAGATAATATCAATGGATGAGGATAAACATTGTTGAGCCAAATTTGAAGGTTTATCCAAAAGGTTTGCGTCTAACTGTTATCAACTTTTTTCATTTTGACCAATTCCTTTTTTGTATAAATAATACCTTGTAGAAATCTATGTTGAAAGTCAATAAGCTTGTATCTTGTAATCCCTTTCTATATACTTTAAATACATTTTGCAATCGAAATCACTTTCAGGAAATAAAAGCTGCCATTTATTACAAATGTTTGGATGTTTATCAGTGCAAATAAGTTTATTATAAAAAATCTGGAACGGGAATTGGTACCACTGGTATAAGGCATGTAACCACTGATTACCAGGGATACGTATCACTCACTCACATAGCTATGTACCACTGATAGAATATATTATGTACCGCCGATAAATATGATCATGTACCACCGACAAATAGGACCATGTACCGCTAATAAATAGGACTATGTACCACTAACTTACAAACAGGTATATGAACCACTGATAAACATGGCTATGTATCACTCATAACAGTATCACGTACCACTGATAAGCAGGACCATGTGCTAAGGAGGATTAGGCACCACTAACAAACAGGACATTAAACCATAATTAACATGAAAGAGTCTAGAACAGCTTCTACTGAGAAGGTTATTGACAAAGAGTGTGCGCACATAAACAGTGATTGTTTCAAGTCAGTTCACCAACAGCTGAGTGTGAGAAGTGAATTCCAAACCATCGTGTATTGCTACATCTGTGAACATCATTTGTGAAACACACAATCCCTGACAGGGTGTCGAGATGCAGAGGATGTCGAGATGCGGAGGATGACATCTTGGACATATCTGGAACTTGACGGTTGATAGCCTTGCTGCACAGGCAGTTTTAATGTTGTACATTATTGAACTCTATATTACTATGAACCAGGAACCATCATTATAGTAAATTAGAACTCACAACCCGCGGAGTGAGGCAGCTGTGCGTGTTGCGTTTCTTTAGACCTCTGGGCCACCAGTTTTCATCACTGATATCATGAAAACCGGGGTGAGTGAGGATGTTAGTTTCGTTTTATGTCGCTTCTAGCAATATTCCAGCAATATCATATTGGGGGATACCAAAAATAGACTTCACACATTGTAACCCATGTGGGAATCGAATCCAGGCCTATGCAAATGCTTTAATCTCGAGGCTATCCCGCCGCCCCCAACCAGATCAGATGGTAAAGCATAGCTGTGTTGAGTAAATATGCACCCTACATAGTCAATGTGCATTTTGTACGACTCCGCACAACTATGTGGTGTCTTTATCAACGTCTTAGTACCTCTTTGTTTTCGTATGTTATTGCTCGTTTCAAGCTGGATGTCACCGTAGGATTGGCCCGAAGCAGTTCCTGTGAACATACAAAATTTCAGCATACACTGAGATTCAAATTAAAATGCTTGCCCACTAGATGAGGTTTATTTGTGTATCATCTTCTAGACACTAGGTTGGCTGACGCTGTGGGCGTCTCCAATTTCAGGCAAAACCAGTTTTAGCCTATATCAAAGTGTGATTGAGCATTTCGGGTGATAGAGGCGAAGACGGTCATTCGAGTTGTTTTGTTGTTGTTGCTGCTGTTGTTTAACGTACTCATCAATATTCCAGTTAAATGGGATCAAAGACAAGCCAGGGATCAAAGGCACCAGCGTCGATCTAAGCAATTGGGATGTGATGACATGTGTCAACAAAGACAGACAGCACGACCTCCTGACCCCGTTAGTCGCCTCTATCGACAAGCATGGATCTTTACAGATTTACCGCACAGTGAAGATAGTTATTAATATATTATAATACATGTGGATATGAGCTGCATGTCATCAAGTGTGTCGTCGTGGCACAGAAGAAAACATATTCCTGGAAGGTGTCGGAGTTGATTGGTTTTCTCTATCGAGAGCCCCAGCATAACATCGGACACCATGATGTTCAGCAGATGGTCGCACGTAGCTTAACACAGGTCTGATCGTATCTTATTTTCGTGTGATAAACCTATGATACCCTTGTGTGTAGACACGCAAACTCAAACTAACTTTAAGTAGTTATGATAATTGCAGAATCTTTATCGTCACGACGGCCTATTTCCATCATTCTGCTTGTGTTGGAATTCTGACTAATTGATATAGGCCTCCTATTACCACTTAAATATGATTAATCCTCAGAAAAGCCCCGTGAAAGGAGGACCCCGATTAACTTTAATATCTGATTCGTGTGTTTGAAACCAGCAACAGTTTACCAGTCTCTTGGCGTGTGTTTGCTTCATCTTCAAATCCAAGGTTGCCATAGATGTAAATGGGATCGTCATCTGGAACATTGTGTTATTTCAGAATAAATTACATAGAATTGTAGGACAGTCTGCTTGATTTGGCAGAAAAGCTCATGTATACTTTGTCAACGCCACAAGGACAGATAGAAGGAACACAGATTGGTATCTGAAAAGCAGGTTTTAATCGTAAAATTCCTTAAACTTCGTTAAGTCGTAGTTCGTTATTGTGAAAGGATTTAAGCTTCAGAACAGAGGTTTTAATTTGTTATGACAAGGAATAGTAATTGAGGTAGCTAAACATTGCTGTACCGTAATGTGACGCGCAAGTCTTGTCATAATGAACGAGTTTTACTTCTAAACATTCCATATCCCTGTTTGCCTATTGGGTCGTTTATCTTGTTGCTTGGGTTATGACTTCATTTCAAGGCTACTGTGTAGAATTCGTAGGCACTGCAGGCTTCAAGTTTAGATGGTCCAGCTACTGTTACCTGAGTTCTGCATTCTATGTTAAAATAATCAGGTGTTGTTTTTTATTTGATTGTTGTTTAACCCCGCACTCAGCAATATTCCAGCGCTATGGTAGCGGTCTGTAAATAATAGTCTGGACCAGACATTCCGGTGATCAATAGCATGAGCATTGATCTACGCAATTTGATACGATGACATGTGTCAAGCAAGTCAGAGTGAGTGAGTGAGTTAATATTTATCGTCACATCGGCAATACCAAGCCAGAGAGCCTGACAATCTGATCCCGTTAGTCGCCTCTGAGGACAAGCATGGGCTGTTGAGAACCAATTCTAGCTCGGATCTTCATGGTTAGTAGAATTAGTTTTGTGCCTGATCGATTGCAGACGCCGGCGAAAGATATCTGCATATTTCCAAAACCACGTTCATTACCTCTAACTGGGGTCATTCCAAGTGCGCAGTACGTATTATCAGCACCTGGAACATGTAACAAGTCATTTGCCAAAGGCCAAAATACCAGACAAATTAATTTCCAAAACTGACATATTGCTCTGTCTAAAGTCTTCACTTAATTTGGCTTAACAGAACGATCATCTTCCGAAACCTGCCAATACCGACACCTGTATAATCCGGCACACAGCCAAAACCGGCATACAAGTTTGGTCCCGCCATTTTACAAGGATGGTATGACCATTAAAACATTGTCTAATCCGGCATCTGTCTATTCCGTATTCCGGCACGGCTTTCCGGTCCCAACAAGCAATTTTAACTGTAATCAACACTGTCTAAACCGGCATGGGTATGAGCAGTCCAACGAAGGTCCCATGATCCAATACACTAATTAATCCTCTTATAATCCACGCTAGATAATCAGGAAGTAGTGACTGCGTGGTGAAGGTCCATTAATCCAATACACTCATCTCGGCACGCTAGATAATCAGGAAGAAGAGATTGGCGAGTGTAAATGGCAGCCATGTTCGAACATGATCGTCACTGTCTAATCCGGTATTCTGTCTAAACCGGCACCCCACGGGACCGAAATGAAATGCCGGTTTAGACAAGATGCCGGATTAGACAGTAACGATCATGTTCGAACACGGCTGCCACTTACACTCGCCAATCTCTCTATTCACTGTCTAAACTGGCATTTTCATTTCGGTCCCGTGGGGTGCCGGTTTAGACAGGTTTCACTGTATATATGGACTGTATAAAATGGTGCTATACCCCCACTTGGCAGTTCCACGGCCTCGTACATCTGTTGGCTCCCTCCAACATCTGTCCTGGTGGTCTGTGCAGTTCTAGTACACATGCAAAATCAAAATTGGAATATTTTACAATCTGTGCTCTAGATAAACACATTCTTGTTTATCAGACATTGGGATATATTAATTCAAATATATGGTTCGTTACTCTGCATTGCCCTTTTGTGAGTTTTGAGGGGAGCACGTTACATGGGTTGGCAATTCCTTTATTGCAATGGATGCGAGATGTAGGTATTAATACCGTTATTAAACATCTACACCGAAACCTTGTGTCCATAGCAATCAAAAAGAGGTCAATCCATACAAGGTGATACTCTTCATCCCACCAACTGCCACTTAAGAAGTTCACAAAGTTGTATAACTGTACAATAGACAAAGGTCTCTACTAACTGACAAGTAAGCTTTTGTGATTTATATCAAATACAGTTTTATACTTTTTTAAATAGCCTTTTAAAATTCAATTTTAAATACATATGCAAAATATTCAAATGTTGGGCCGTAACTTTAATTTAGTGGGGAATAAACAGCAGAAAGGGCTATCTGGCTCCACGTCATGTTCCGTTTTTAGTATATTATCACCATAACTAAGTATGTTTACCAGTTACACAAGCTAACTATTGGGTAAACAGTTCCCCCAGTAAAATACACCTACCTCTGTGGATTCTCAATAGCTGGAATAAAAACGCAGTTGTCAATGTCATATTCAGAGCAATACTATTCTAAATACTATTTTACAACAGAATTTACAGTCATTTGAGAGGTTCTCGGATGTTATACAAAGTATAGTAGATACTAATGTAAAGTAATCATATAAGGCAATGTAAGTTAGTCATATATGTGTGTCCAGCTATGTGCATATTTCATAACTGACGGTATCAAGTTATACCACAAATACACTTACGTTTTGCAGTCTTCATTCTCCTCCTCTGGTAGATAATGATGATGAGGAGGAAGATGATGATGAGGATGAGGATGACCAGGCCAGATCCTGTTGCTATGACCGACACTGGAGAGGCATAGTCCCCGATCAAAGAGTAAGCTTGCACTGTGGCAGAACAGAAAGAACAGATTATCAAAATGAAGAAACGAATGCACTCTATTTGAAGATGTATGAGAAGATTTGCCTCAGATGTTTTACAAGGGTTGACGTGTTCTACACGGTGTACACACAGTCTTCACGACCACGACAACCACAGTGTCATTGATTGGTTCCAGATGTACCTCTTGCGGGTCAAAGGACATTCATGATTTTTGACACATGTTTATATTGTACATTCTTAGATGCTTCGGTGAAAGATCAAAGACGCACAGTACTTTATGAGACGACTGTGTACATTCTTTGCATTACGTCATAAGCCATTCTAGTCTGCCCCCCTCGTAATCGAACACTTTGGCATTACATCACAATGTAACCGACATCACGACATTCACCCGGCTAACATCACTGGTGGAAACATTACGTTTATGTTTTACGACGGATAACATGTCTCAGTTCGACTCACAATTTACCAGTGACACGGCAACGTGTTCACGTGTGTTTACATTCCCACAATGCATCCCTGGAATGTCGCATGACTTGTAATCTTTATATGGATGCACTAATCTAAACTTACGTTGGTAGTAAAAATGTGATGTTCATATTGTCCCATATGATATACTTTAATCACAGATATAATTAAAATAATTTAGAGAAGACATTTAACCCGAACGTAAACCAGTCATTAAACTGTTCATCATTTGTTTTTTTCTAGTAACGTTCGTCTGAACATACGGGCAGACAGATCAATAGAACAGCGCGTCAGTTAGCCATGAACGAGGAGTCTTGATTTAGGTCACCGACACAGTCGTTTGTTTTCCGCCTTAGATTAATTGTAATTAGTCTAAGAAAGTATTTAATTTGGCATCCTAGAAAAGAAATACAGTTCTCTCTACCACCATGTATAGTGTAATAAAGCACACGTTCGCCCTGAACTAGTATAACGTTAACGTTTAACTATAATAATTCAAGGCGAAAGTGTGCTTTATTGCACTATGCACGATGGTAGAGCGAACTGTATTTCTTACGAATATATTCTTTGCGAATATATATTTCATATTTCTTCTAAGGAACTGTACTCTGTTTTAACATAGATGATAAGCTGTCCAATCATCATGTAAAACATTAACCACAAAGTCCGTTTTGCCAACGTCTAGGCAGAACACATGTCAGCGATATTGGGGCTACTCACAGACTTCGATGCCTGTTTGTGCAGTTGATGTCCCTTGTCTATTGGTAGCAGAGCACGATAGGTTCCCCGAATCAGAAGATGACACGTGTTTAAGAAACGTCTGCCCGTAACTGATATTGCCGCTGTGATGCCACATGTAGGAGGTGACGGCAGGGTTTGCATCGTCAACGACACATTCAACTTCAACGACATGCCCAGCCATGACACTGATGACATCTTGCCTTGTTGACAGGTGGATATCCGGTGGATCTTATGTCAGACACAAGGTTTGAAAAAGAACGACAGCATCAAACATTCACAGTATACAATGCACAATATCATCAGACATTTATTCCCTGTAAAAAGAATCCATCGGATGATATATAAATATAAGTGTGAAAACCACATCCATTAGAAATTTCTTGCAAATGCAGGGTCGACTGTACAACTGCACAATTCCACATATTATGAGCATGTGTTTACGAATCACTATCGAAATAGTGATGCTACCAAGCATTCGAGAAAAACACTTCCCTCCACCTGTCTACCATAAAAACAATTGGCAGCTATAGTGAGACTATTACGCAGAGCCATACAATTTAATCGTAGTATTTCAGTTATTTTAACTTTCGGGTAAGTCTTCCTACATCGCCAGCGGCTGAAGGGATGGTGTAAATCCAGCTAGGGTCCATGCAGGTAACAAAAGTAATGTAAGTCCCCATGGTTCCTAGTATGGTGATCTACCTTCAGTTGTTGGCGATCTATAGACCCTGTTTTATATTGTATTGTCTTCTTTAATTAAAATCTTTTAGTTTGACATGCTAGTTTTATGTTCATATATGTGATATTCTAGTATTTTTACTGTCCATCGTCGACAGGTTTTACTCTCCAAAATGTTTTCATTCTTAATTGTATAAGTTGGTTTCGTCACGATATGGCTGAGATATTGCCGATGTGACGTTAAATATAAACTCACTCACTTTAGTGAGACTTTGAATGTGGTAACCTTGATTGAACAACTTCTAAGCAAGGGTCGTGTGACGCTCTTGTATCATACAGCCTTATGGAGAGTTTTACTGGAGACTAAACTTGCTATTTGTGCCAAATGCATTATACTATAATTTGAAAATAAACTGCATTTGATGGTCACTGATTGGGTAAAGAAAGTAGGTTATTGTGAATCCCATAATCTTTCAGTAAAAGTGAGTGAGTGAGTTGAGTTTTACGCCGCACTCAACACTATTCCAGCTACATGGCGGTGGTCTGTAAATAATCGAGTCTGGACTAGACAATCCAGTGATCAACAGCATCAGCATCGATCTGCGCAATTGGGAACCGATGACATATGTCAACCAAGTCAGTGAGCCTGACCACCCGACCCCGTTAGTCGCCTCTTACGACAAGCATGGGTTACTGAAGACACATTCTAACCCGGACCTTCACGGTGCTTTCAGTAAAAGGGAGCATTGTGAGTTCACCATTTACCTTCACTGGAACCAAGCCAGTCAATGTAACATGTGAACAAACTGATGTAACAAACAAGGGCTAACATAACGTTACCTTCAGTATTTAGCACTGATGTGACGTCAGGGCGTTAAGGACAGCTTTGCAATTCATGTGCAATTATATACTTGAACGATAATCTTGATTGTTCTCAGTCTGTCATCGCAAAACTAATTCCCCAGTAGTATATACAATGAGTGTCCGGGATCAAGTCCAACAAAAGCCTCTGCAAAGCCTTATTTCCCAAATAAGGCTTTGGTCGGACCCTTAGCTCTTGCTACCATTGTATCTACTACTTTTGTGCCCCCGTTGATTTCCCGCCCACAAGTGGCACTACTGTGACACTATGGCCTATAGAAAGATAGAAAGGTTCTAAAAAGTAATAAAAGTCCCCGGCAGCCACAATTCCCCAAGGGTGAAATCGAAACATGATGTTGCGCTTCTCCCAAGGGGAATTGCGTCGGCTGCCTTTCTCTCACCATGAGAGTGCCCCACTCAGCTAAGTGCTTTTCATCGCTATGCCGTGTTGACAGGGGTTTTAGATAAAACGGCACCACGCCAAAACGGAATCAAATTGGCGAAAACGGAACCATAATTTGTTTATCAATTAAATATTAGCTCTAAATAATAATAACTAAGTGCTGAACGATAATGATTTAAAATGGATACTTGCTGTTGACACGGTTGACTCTTCCATTCACATCTATGGGCTGACCAAATAAACTTGTCTCTTCTCAAAACATTAAGAACTTGTTGTTTTTAATGCAGTTATTAGTTTATTCTTTGTACTTAATGCACAGGCTACAAGTATGAATATGTTTCTTATCAAAACATTTTATAAACACTAGTTAATGAACACGCCTCGTGCATATTATTCCAAAGAAAACAGCGGCGTCTTTGATGGGTTGACAAGCTTCATTAAAACAACAACTCATGACTGCTCTGTTACAACTCAATGTCATGACTGCTCTGTCACAACTCAATGTCATTATACATGCTATATAAGACGTGGTTTTTCGTCAAAATGTACAGGCGACAATGGCTGTTAGGTGCTTGGCTTGCGAGAAGACTGTCCGCCGAAATCAACACGCTATCACTTGTGGTGGATGCGGAGGATGGACACACAGGACCTGTGGCATTGGCCTCAGCGTCCAAAGATACTGGCCTCAGCGTCCAAAAGAAGCAGTAAACTTAGTACATTATTTCCCTTTCTGCAGCATACTGTTTTAGAGGTAGAAAAACATTATGTTTATCTTGGTGTACTATTCACAAGCACTGATCGCTTTTGTAAAGCCATTAAACGGCTCTCTGACCAATCTTCTGGTGCAATGTTTGCTATATTTAGAAAAATTCGCTTGTCAGATATACCGGTCGACTGCCAACTTAAACTTTTTGATCAACTTGTTAAGCCTATTTTATTGTATGGTGCTGAGGTGTGGGGCTACGAAAACACTATTCAATTAGGACGTATTCATTAAAAATTTTGTACATACATATTGAAGGTAAAAACAACAACCCCAGACTTTATGGGTTTATGGTGACTTGGAAGATATCCACTTAGTATTTCTATCAAAGTGAGAATGTTATCATATTGGTGTAAATTATTATTATCTCATGGTAAACTATCAAAAGTAATGTATAAATTAATGTTCAATTTGCACAATTCTCAGGCAAATGCTAAATATCCGCTAATAGCGGAAGTAAAATCTGTCTTAGAGAATACAGGCTTTAGCTACATTTGGCAATTACAAGAATTTCAGAGTACCCATTGGCTGGTAAATAATGTTAAAACTGTACTCGTTGATCAGTTTCTACAAACTTGGAGAGAAAGTAAATCACAATCATCGAAAGGCCTATATTACAATATGTTTAAGGATAATCTTTATATTGAAACTTATTTGTTGCAACTTCCTCTAGATTTACGTATTTATACTACAAAACTTAGAACTTGTAACCACAGACTCCCTATTGAAACTGGTAGACGGCATAAAATTGATATAGAAAATAGATTGTGTACGTCATGCAAAAGTAAAATTGGGGATGAATTTCACTTAATATTAGAATGCAATGAGTTAAACGAATTACGAAACAAATATCTCCCTCTATATTATTGTAAACATCCCACTGTGGACAAATATATTTCACTTATGTCTATCACATACAAAACAATACTTGTTAAACTTGCTCTTTTTGTGAAATGGGGCTTGCGTACGCTCCGTTAATGTAGTATGTATTTGTTTCATTGTTTTGCACATGTATTTGTTTTACTCATGTCATGTAGACTCATGAGAACAAACTTTGAATTGAATTGACAATGGCTGTTAGGTGCTTGACTTGCGAGAAGACTGTCCGCCAAAAATCAACACCCTATCACTTGTGGTGGATGCGGAGGATGGACACACAGGACCTGTGGCACTGGCCTCAGCGTCCAAAGATACAGGGAGATTTGTTCAAGCGGCGAGGACTACCCCTTCCTTTGCAGTAAATGTCCAAGGCCTTCAGATACAATTGATGAACTCATTGAAGCGACAGGCATCAACTTAGAGATAAGTTTGCAGTCTGACCAGCCAGAGGACAAGTCAGTCGAAATGGAGCAGGAGCAGACTTCTGAGGACCAGCCGGCCGAAATGGAGCAGGGTCACGAGACCAGAGTCCCAGACCTGTCTGATATAAACATTTCTTCAGCTTACATTCCCGACGACCAAGATATCACACAAGAACGGTAATTTTAAAAAATAGAGTGCTAACACTAAAGTACAATGTAATGTGATGAAACGATATTGTGATGAAATGATATTGTGATGTAATGATGTTGTGATGTAATGATATTGTGATGTAATGTAATGTAATGTAATGTAATGTAATGTAATGTAATGTAATGTAATGAAATGAAATGATATGAGTGGTTCCGTTTTCGCCAATTGGTTTTTGGTACCGTTTTGACGCCGTTCAGTTTTAGCCTGAACCCGTTGACAGGAGGTAACATTGTGTCGTACGGTACGATAAATAATTCCTGTCTAACGAGCCCTCTCCCTGGCCCATCTCTCAAGTAGTACAAGTTCGGCTCGTCGGCTTTCATGACCACTATTTCTATGTTGTAAGTTTTGATTGACCATATTGGGTCAGTGGCTCGCTTACGGCTATCACCCTCGTGTTTCCCCGGCTGGTACAGATACCTCACTAGGGCCCTATCTGGTATCTGTTTCTCTTTCCCATGCAATGGAGCAGCCGACTCTGCCACTATTGATTTTAGTTTGATAGCGTCTGCCGGTTTCTTGCCGGTGAGACGGGTGGCTTCATGGTTGATTGCCGACAACCGCGACCCATTCAGTCGATCGCTTCCCCGGGTTGGCCATCTCCCTAGCATACTGATGCCCGAATAAGAGCTCAGCCAAAGTCCTATTAAATCTCTCAACTACGCCTTGGCTGCGATGGGCTCCGGCCGTGTCACACCTGACCTTTGTATCGTGTTTGGCTAGCAGTTGTGACACGACACCCATGAACTCCCGCCCGGGGTCAACTTGCAGCTCTGTTGGCCACGTCAGCGGACTGCGTTTGTATATGCGTTCGAATCCTCGGGTCTTTCGTTGTCAAGGGTTCGGCTTCCTTATAGCGACTGGCCACATCCACGACGGTTAAGACTTGTACCTCTTATCGTGGGGTAGGAACAGTAGGTCTGCCTGGTGAACGCTATTGGGTTGTTAATACCAAACTTCCTTCTAGGAACGTAGCGTGGTGGCGGCAAATAGATCTGCCACAGGGCTTGTTTTTCAAGCCACGTTTTGGCATCCTCCGGG